GTAGGATATAATATAGAGACACACACACACATACATATATATATATATATATATATATATATATATATATTATATTCTACTGTTCCAAACATTGTATATCTGTCTATCTATATTTCATATTATTCCAAATGTTATACACACTGACACACACACACACACAGAGAGACACACACACATATATAAATGAATATCAAATCAGAAATGTTTCATTACACATGTTTGGTTTTTACATGGAAATATGACTGGGTTGCAAATGTAGAAAAAAAGGAATTAGGATTTTTTTTTTATAAATTACAAATGAAATATTCCTTGTTACCTTTTACGCGTGAGTCCCTTTCGTTCCATTAGAGATAATTTTTCCAGATTCTTTTTTTTTTTCGAAAAATCTAAAACGAAACGGATTCGCCAAGAACTAGTAGCACCCAACGTTTAAAAAAGCCCACGGCTGCAAACAGACAGACGCGCTCTGGCAATATTAAGGCAGCACTTGGAGAGGGAGTAAAGAGCCACTGGGGGGTGGAGGATATGGGTGGATCATGGTTAAAAAAAAGACAAAAAGGTAAAAGGTAAGAAAATGATAGAAAAGAGAAAAAAAAAAGTCAGGAGGTAAGAGATTCAACAAGGTGGGTGTGAAAGAATCATCTCGCATTTCGCCTGTTTTGGGCAGAAGGAGAAGTTAAAAACAGGAAAAACATACAGTACTTTCAGCGAACAACAAAATAGATATGAAGAAAGTAAATAAGGTTAAGTTGGAAATAAATATCTTGTGTCTTGTGTCGCATTACAGGTATACATCTGCATGTCAGATCTTTTCAAGAAAATACACCTCACACCTGAGATGAAGTAGAGGAAGAGGAAAAAGAATAAAGGAAGGAAGAAGATCAAAAAAATAGTTTTTACAATTTATAATCCAAATAAATTTGATTACATAATCACAACTAACAAAATACGTCTGTTTAAAATTTCCAGTTTTTTGAATAAGTTGCTTTAATATTTTTTTATAATCAGTATCACCCCAGGCAAGGCAGTAAAGCCACTAAGATACAAGGGGTTACAGAATGTAGAAGAATTAGGAACAGAAACATTAGTAATAAGTGGAAAGAGAAAAGAGTAATCAGAAGGACAGTAGATAGCAACTAACATTACATTTAAATTTTACAGATTAAAGTTGTCTGGTGTTATAGTGGAACACACCTATTCTATAGTTAATAGACTCTCCCACCTATAATAAGTAGGAGTCGCTCAGGGAGTTGTTCAGTCAATCGATGCCGGACAACCGTTAGTCGGATACTAAAGTATCAGCGAACACAACTAGATTTCTCTGCGTCATACCTATTATATGAAGTTCCTAACGTTTTGTACGTCGTACCTATTTCAGGACCGACTTAGTACAAATACAAGCCTCCACTGTGAAACCACTCCATAACAGCTGTAAAACATGAAGCCGGAAGGGACTTCCACAAATGAGAAGTAGAAAGAAAAGAAGAAACATTTAGCATAGAATTTACAGCTACATCTAGCTAGCTCAACGCTAAATTGACACGATCTCGATTCCAGTCTAGTAATGTGCCCAAATTATGTAAGGTGATGCACCCATTGAGAATCAGAGATCAGCATATATATATATATATATATATAATGTTAGTTGACTCTACCTTGTTGCCATTAAACAGATAATAAGTCACAAAATATTTCAGGTGTAACTTCTAAAAAAAATGCAGTGTTGCTGCCATACCTAGGCTGGAGCTGCTAACCCTAACCCTTCCCCCCAAGCAAGGAAATAAAGCCACTAAGATGCAAGCAATTATCAAGTGAGAAAGAATAGGAGAAAAAGAAAAACATTGTTAAGGAGTGAGGACAAGAAAAGTATAAAAATTAAGAAGACGGAAGAAAACAGTTGACACTGCATTTAAATCTTTGAAGATAAAAATTGGCTGGAAAGCAAGAAGCCAGAACAGAGTTCCACAAGTGAAAAGTGCGAGAAAAGAAACTGTTAGCATAGAATTTACGGCTACATCTAGCCACCTCAACTATTGAGATCGATATTGTAGATAAACTGCCAAAAGTTCATGTTCGTTCTGTTTTTGTTTTTTGTTTCAGTCCTGTGAATGAGGAAAGAGGGCTTGGAAAATTTGACACTCATAAGACAGATTGAAGGTAAGAAGACCAGAGGAAAGCAATACACAACCTACCCGGCAAGTGTGAGCAAATGGATGGCATGTCAGGGTTTGGGAGCTACAAAGGACAGGAAATTGTGGAGAGCCATGATCGCCAACATCCTGAAGGTGTAAGTGTGGTAGATAGGATTCCGTTGGCTACATCCTTTAGAAAGATGACCATCTCAGTCATTTTCAAGAACTATGTGGTGTCTGTGTGACAGGCATGACTCCATTCGCTACACCCTTTAGAAGATAAAATTTCAAAATAATCTATGGAGATGTGTAATGGTAAAGGAAAATAAAAGATCACACTAAAAACGATGTATTATTATTATTATTATATGCATATTAAATATTTCATCCACACTTCAACATAATGTCTTCTGTGGTGAAAGATATTTTATTTAATGTGTGTTTTTTTTAAAATGTGTCTGTCTCTAATATATATATA